AGTTCTAGAAACGTTGCGTCACGGTGGTCATGTGACTCGCTGACGCAACACTATTTTACTAGATAGCTGCCTTCCCTCTTATCTATCAATTCAAAATTAGAAATGGCTTTGCTCAGATAAACTTTGTTTAAACACGAAAATTCTCAAATAAACAAAATTTATCTCAATTAAAGAAAAATTGCTTTCATATTTGAACATTATTTTATGAATAATGGATTTGTATTGCATTATATTATACATGTGCACAACTAGTAATATGTACAGCAACTTGATAAGTTTCCAGAAAGTTAGATATATTCTTTAGTTTGCATCTTGGTAAGCAGGACACTTTTCTTAACACTCAACAACACATTTTGCACTGGCTTCATGTTTTGATACAGAATTATAGGAAATATTGTTGCTGTGGGATTAAACACTGTTAACGGTAACAGATGATATTCCTTGTTTTATTTAAAGTAGCTGTTTTGGGTTGGATGGTTCTTTTTCGTAAACACAGCCTTTATTTTCGGGATAAGGGTGTTGGAGTATAGTTCCAGAGAGGGTTTTGTCCCTAAACGCTATACTAAGCTAGTGTTCAGCTTCCATGGAGAACGTTAAATTCTCCCTTCTTGCCCCTCCACACAGTGGCATAGCGGTATGTCTGCGGACTTACAACGCTAGAAACCGGGTTTCGATACCCCTGGTGGGCAGAGCACAGATAGCCCATTGTGTAGCTTTATGCTTATTTACAAAAAACGAAACAAAAAAACAACCTCCCTTCTTGGTAAATGTTGTGGCCTTTGTATCAGCATAGTTTAACAACCTCGCTTTATGAATTTACTCTTAGAAAGGATTTTAAAATCCTCCTGCCCTAAATCTACCTTGACGATATTACACTATCGAAAGGTAGAGAATTCGCCGTAAGCAAGTGATAAATATGTCATCCAGGCCGTTGCGGCTCTAAACTACTGACACCACGCCTCTGCAGTGACACAAACTAATGATTTAAATAAAGTGCTATATCCCTTCCCTCTGTATGTATGGACATATTCTAATTCCAAACTTGTACTTATAAACAAGATATCTTCATAAATAACTCGTGCATTTTAAATGGAGAATATAATTTGACACATATTGGCATAATTTGTTATCTAAACTAATTGCTTCAATAACTGTATACTTTTCAAAAGACATTTATTACTTTGTTTCACTCGAACTTACACCACTCCTTACTGAGGTGTTCATTCTGTGTTATCAATTAACGTGTAGAATTTGCTCGAACAAAACAAGTTGAGTTAATAATATATTATGACGGAATGCGTTAGAAAGTTATTATATTCAGATTCGCAGGTGCACTTGTATAATGTTGTCTTAACCCATTAACAGTCTCCTCCTTTTACAGGGTGATTCCAACCATTTGTTTACAGTCTCTTCCTTTTATATGGTGATTCCAACCATTTGTTTACAGTCTCCTCCTTTTACAGGGTGATTCCAACCATTTGTTAACAGTCTCCTCTTTCTACAGGGTGATTCCAACCATTTGTTTACAGTCTCTTCCTTTATAGGGTGATTCCAACCATTTAGTTTACAGTTTCCTCATTTTACAGGGTGATTCCAACCATTTGTTGACAGTCTCCTCCTTTTACAGGGTGATTCCAACCATTTGTTTACAGTCTCTTCCTTTTATAGGGTGATTCCAACCATTTGTTAACAGTCTCCTTCTTTTATAGGGTGATTCCAACCATTTGTTGACAGTCTCTTCCTTTTACAGGGTGATTCCAACCATTTGTTGACAGTCTCCTCCTTTAAAGGGTGATTTCAACCATTTGTTGACAGTCTCTTCCTTTTACAGGGTGATTCCATCCATTTGTCGACAGTCTCTTCCTTTTACAGGATGATTCCAACGATTTGGTAATGACCTTGTTGCAAGAGTTAGTTGTACTATATTAAATTGATGAATAGGATAGAGGGACTTTACTTTGGTAGATAGTCATCGAGCCAAATTTGGTTCTGGAACAATGGGATAAAATTATCACATTTTGCTCATGTCAAAAGAATCAAACATATATAGGTAATTACAAATAAGCAAAGAGATTTATCAAAAATAAAAAGCATATTAACATGATATAATTACTTTCTTTGCTTTTTGATGAGAGAACATTTACATGATTAATTTACTTAGTTTCAAGTTTATTTTAAAGGTATTTAATAAGTAAAGATTAGTATTCAAATCTTTCTTGTATATTTTAAGTAAAATAACTCTATTTATTATTTCACACCTGCTACTAGTCCAGAGCAAAACTGCCTTTCAGTGTCATAATGTTCTGAGTTCTTAAATGATACGAAACGTTTATTTTTATATATTCCTCCACAAAATGTCTTCGACAATGCCGCATTACTGGAGTGGAAGTGAAGTTTTATTTCATAAGGTTAGAAATTT